CCTGGTAGATGCTCAGCAGTAACTTGCAGCGCTTGAGCTAAGGTTCTCTGAGCTTTTGGTTTGGTTTTTTTTTCCCTCCACTATCTCTGCTGATTAAGAAAACGAGAGTGCCAGATATTTTACAGAATAAATGGATTTGAACAATTATGCTGCTGTGTTCTGCCAGTGTGCTGTCAGCAAATAATCACTTTCAGCCACCAATGTTCTGGGCTAAGTATAACCTAACTGTGCACTTCAGGCTCTGAAAACTGTGGTGCCATCCATGTCTCATGTGATGGGCTGCAGTCTGCATTGCAGCTACCCTGGCAATAGAAAAATAGAAAAAATAGGAAAAAAAATAGGAAAAAATAGAAAAAAAATAGAAAAATAGAGAGTTTTGTTCAGCTGCTGCTTGTGCAGCAATTGCAGCAATTTTTCACTTTTTTGGAACAGTGGAGAGCAGGGAGGGAGTGTGACCCATTAATTTGTCATTTTTTTCCCAGCATCTTCCCAGAAGGGGGAGAAAATTGGAGTGGTGGTATTGTATGTTTTTTCTTCTCCCTCTGTTTAGTAAGTGTTTCATGAAGGTAATATCCTATCAAATTCTTCATCTTTTTCTGTGTTTTAACAACTTGCAGAAAGCAGGGTGTCGAGAGAACAGACCAGTGTGAAGCTTGTGTGAACAAGTTTGGTGTTACACCAAGATGGTTGACTGTAGCCATGTATCATTTTGGAAGTGTTACTGGTTATTTAAGTTTTTGTAATGATACACTACAATGAAAGGGAAATAAGTTAAGGTGGTGGATACTGCTTATTTAATTAAGTTCCAGGTTTCAGCTGCTTTGAAATTGTAAGCAGATACCAGGCAGTATGAGGATAGTTCATGTGATAAAGATGAATTTATGTTGTTTCAAACACTGCATTCAGGCTTAGCTGTAAATCTTCCTACGGGTGTAAAGCTCTGGAGGAAAATAGTACTGGATTAAAGTGGGTGCATAACTATTGTTTTAATTTTTTATCGCAGCACTTGGATGTTGTAGAGTTGGGCATGCCATAGGTGTAAATCAGATTTGGATCATGCTTATATAAACTCCGATATCAAAGCACCCGGCTTATCTCTGGTTACTGAAAGTAGGAAAATATAATCTAATTTAATGAGTTGTCTGTCTTGAGGCCAGGGAATGTTTCATTTCTCCTTTGTCTATAAATGCATTCATGAAAGGAAATAAATACTTGATGTATTTTGACATGATGCAATTTATGCTCTTTGGGGTTTTTTAATTTTACTTTATGCTGTAGTGCAGTTATTAATCCAGGAAAAATAAACATTAGCCAACATGGTATTGAAAAATCAGGTGAAGCTCTTTTACAGCACCAACTAAAACTGTAATATGTAAAAGATATAATCCTAGTTAAAATCACAGCAAAATAGCCTGGATATTTTTAGGAATTTAGTACCGTAAAGCAGTTCTGATTCTGCGATTTAGACTTAAAAAAATAAATAAGCAAACTGCTGTGTTGTATGACTTGAATGAGGTATCCTTCCCCATATCGTGTGGGGTTTTATTAGTACTGGTAGAAATTTGTGTGTTAGAGCCCTATTCTGCGTACTGTTACTGTATTAATGTTAGGAAAAGAAATTTAAACAAACAAACAAACAAACAAACAAAGAAACGCCACCGATGGATTCTGTATTATCTTGATACCTGAGTACGATGAAATTCCTTATTCCAAATGTCTTTCAAAGTTCCAGGGGTATTTTGATGAGAACTGTACATCCAAACCGAACTGGTAATTCTGGAGATGTGCCGTCTGT